GGTTCGGGGACTCCCCGGTCGAGCCCCTTCCCCAGCCCAGGGGAAGGAGGCGGGAGGAGCGGACCCCCGCTGCCGCCGCACTGCGCGCTCGGGGGCAAGGCCTGGAGACACGGCAGCAGAGAGACGGCGGAGGGCGAGGCGGAAAATCCAGAGCGAGAGAGAAAGCCCAGGGAGGATTCAGCCACCGGACAAGCGAGAGCTGCCGTCAGTCCACAGCAAGAGCTGAGCTGGGCCTCTGGGTTTGGGCTGGACCAGGAGCCGGGCTTCGGGAGAGGCACCAAAACACAGGCTGGGTCCGCGGAGTCGGACAGGACGCGTGCGGCGCTGCGCCTTCTCTCCGTGAAAGACATCGAACGGGGAAGCTGATCTGCAAGGGGCGAACACGGAGGGGCCGCAGGGTGTGCTCACCGCTGCGCCGAGTGTTTGAGTAGTATCTGCCAGAGGCGTTTAATCATTTCAGCTAGGAAGCAAGAGGTTCGAGGGAAGAGTGCCCTAAGAAAACCGTGTCGGTGACTAGGGACACCAGCAGTTTTGACCGGCTACCCCCGGTCTCCGCCTCTGCCCCTTCCCCCTCCTCTCCCTCGTCAGCACGAAGCGTTTCTCTGTGCGAGTCCTTAGATCTCCTCCACTCCGTGTGCAAATATCATCACCAGTCCCGGCTCTAGCACCATGTCCTCGCCCATGTGCTGGTTTTCGCAGGCCATCACCACCACGGCCTGCTTGCCAGGGATGCGCTTGGCCACATAGTTCTCGTAGTACCGCCGGTTCATCTGGCGGGTCTCCAGCGTGGCCAGGCCCTGCGGCCAGTTCCGCTCGTGGGCGTTCTCGATCAGCTCGTTGATGATGGACGTGGGGCAGCCGCTCTCCACCAGCGAGCGCTTGATGACGGCCTGCAGCACCGCGTCCGGCGTGGAGATCATTCCACCCCACCGCGTCACCCGGGCCGGCTGCAGGGAGTTCACCCACCTGGTGAGAGAGACACGGGGACAAGCGCTCAGTGCTGTGCATTTTCGGTGCCTCCCACCAAAACCGGGGAACCGTTCTGCTGCTGGTCCGCTCCGCGCTCGGGAGCGAGGCTGGCCGGGGAAGGCCTCCATTTCCCCACCTACCCCTCCCCTGTTTTCACCCCCAAACGTGACCCAGCTGCAGCTTTCAGCTCCGCTACCCACTCCCCGGAGGGAGGGGAAGAAAGGATGTGATGAGAAGCTGCTTCCTCCGGCCTTTCTCACAAGGAGGAAGGAATCTGGCAGCTTCCTGCTCATGGGCAGGATGCAGGTGGAAGAATAAAAACGGTCCGAGCCCATTGTGCAAAGCAGCTCACGAGCCGCTCCCCAGAGC